AAAAATTTTTTCCCCCCCCCCCTGGAAAATTAATCAATTTTTTTTTCCCCCCCCCCCCCCAGAAAGTTTTCTGAGGGCGCCCATGTTATCATCGTGTGTTATATTTATATGACTAATAGTGAAAACGGCTCATAGCTGCATGATGACCTACTAAGTTGTCCTTTATTTCCAAAAAAATAAATTTTAATTAGGCCTAGGCAAATGTAAACAGTTTTGTGAAAGAAAGACTAGTGGAATGGTAGTATTTTATATCATTATTGTTGTTTTAATTTTTTTCAAAAATAAAATTTGGAAACCTAGGTTTATTCAATTCCTTCATTTGTGATATTCATTTTGATTTATCATTATCATCCTCATTAATTTTTTCATATGCAAAGGTGAATAATATTGCATAATTCTAAGCAATGGTAATATTTCTCCTATTATTGTTTAATTAATTTTTTTTTAAATTAAGGAAACCTAGCCTTTTTCAATTCATTTATTTCTTGAGATTCATCATTATCAATATTATCATTGTTATAAACATTTTCTAATGGGACCCGGGCAGTGGTGTAGCGAGGGTGTTTGGCGCCCGGGGACAAGATTCGCGCCCGTGGACAAGATCCATTTCAAAGCGCCCCCCCTTTTTTTATCAACTCTAAAACCCATTATTTTTACCAATAATATAATATCAAATCACATTTTGGCGCCCCTAACTAGCTTGCGCCCGGGGACACCTGTCCCCCCCCCCATCGCTACGCCTCTAGACCCGGGTGCGAATAGCGGCGCTGCGTGTCCGGGGCCATTTTGACTAAATGGATGTCATTTGTGGTAGTTTATTTCAGTTAAGCTTAAGAAGTAAGTTTACAAACATATAGTCCATTCAATTATCTTTCATTTGATACGTCATTTTGTCTTACTAACCCAACAATAATACTTTAAATAGTTTTTTAATCCCAACCTCTCACTTCTGGTACCCGGGTGTGAATAGTCACAGCCCATAAAATATTCCCAACATATGGGGAAATTGCCCAAGGTCTGGCAGCATGTAATTAAGCAGTAAACACTCCTGACTCCGTTAACCAAAAAAGTTACTATGAGCCTTTTCCCGTATACTGATCAGTACGGATCAGCGGTTTTTAACGACACGTCCTTAAATCATTATCATTATTTTTTAAATTAGCTATTTTAGCGAGGAGTGGTATCTAAAAATAATTTGAAATAATCATATTTTTATGTTAATTGTTCACAATTATCCCTTTACTTCAACATTTAAAAAAAAGTATCACATAAATATCTTGTGACGCACCCGCAATTCTTGATTGACACTCCAGTGTGTGTCGTGACCACCAATTTTTTTTTTTTTTTTTTTTTTTTTCAATATACAATGATTTAAATTTTTTTTTTTTTTTTTTTCATTTTCAATATACAATGATTTAAATTATTTTTGGATTGTAGTCAGGCAGATATGATTGATGAGAAATAACTTATAAGCTTTTGAACCTTTTTAAGATAGGTTATTGCATCAAACGTAGCCGGGGCGTTTGATACAATTTTTAAAATTATGATGAATTAACACTGCCGGCTAATGTAGACCAGCGTTTCTTATTTATTATTTTTTTTATTGTGGCCTACTTAAGCATTTTATTTACCTCTTCCTCGATATCAATTTATTAACAACGGCGCTTTTAAAGTTTTTCAATTTTAAAAAAAAAAATATTGCATTGTGGACGACATAAATCATAGTCTTTTTTTCAAAGTTTTCGGTGCGCCCCCAAGAAATATGAGACGATTTCCAATGGGCTATATATATTATATAGCTAAAGTTGAGAAATGCTGATGGCGACCACTTACAGGTCCACTTTCACTCACTGACTTATATGGTGGTGGAGGTAGTAGTAGTGCTAGTACTAGTAATAGCAGCAGACTGGGTAAGGGTAGCGTTAGACAGGAGCCTTGAAATGAAATATAGCCAATATAGGCATAGGCTTAACGAAACCAAATGCCAAATAATGTTTGAATTCACTTAGGAAAATACATTCTATTTTATTTATAGTTATTTAAAATTAATTGTTTCATTTTATTAGTTTAAATTATATTACGGTACTATCTTTCGATCTTTAAAAGTTATTGAATTGCAAACTAAACGTGTTTTGCGTCATCATTTTTTGTTTCTATTTTCTTAGAACTTTACCCGTTGCCTCGATTTGGCTTGTCACACGCTGTTTAACAATAACAACAACAAACCTATGGCCTAACATTTTGACGACTAGGTGAATTCAGTTCACACATAACAGAAGTTGAACACAGTCGCATTTTAGCTGAACTGAAGGGGGCATATTTTCAACAGTAGTGAAAACAAAATATCATAACTAGAAATATGAAGTTCAAATTCAAGGAAGAACACACATTGGGTATGCAAATCTGTCAAATCAACAATAATATAATTTATTTTAATTGATAACCACGATCGATTGTGTTAGTGATTTACTGTGTTAGGTTAGTGTTAGAGTTAAGTGGACTTGACTTAGACTTAGTGACATTTTGTTCTTAGTCTTACTACTTACTAAGACTAAGTTACTCTTGGTTTACAGTTACTGTACTTACTCTGTTGCTAATAGTACCTACATTACAGGGAGGGGGACATCCTACGTCTACATGAACATGGCACCAAAAGTAAAAGCTATTATTTTTATTAATAATAATAGTAATAGTATTAATTTTTAATAATATATATTTTTCAGTATAGTCAGTATAGACTAGTAAATTAAAAGAAAAAGTCTATAGCATAGTTTTTAAATAGAATAGACCTGGGCATAATAAGTAGCCATCCATAAATCTCGAATATCAAGAGGGGGAGGGAGGGTAACACATTTATTTATGGATATGTTAAGGTGTCTAAACTGTGTGACAATTTGTAACAATGAAAAAGTGGGGGGGGGGGTCCAAATTCTGCTAAAATAGTGTATCTTTTATAGATGGCCCCTTGTGATGGAGTGAAACTTTCAACATTAATATATTAGTAGCTACAGCTAGGGCTATACATACAATTATTAAAATGGATAGGCCTCAGTGGTGAAGCTAGGGCTAATGATTTTGGACACCTCCTTCAACAAAAAATCTCTGCAGTTGGCTGAAAATGTCACCCCTCCTAATAAAGGAAAAAAGTGCCACCTGGGGCGGACCGTGCCACCTGGGGCGGACCGTGCCACCTGGGGCGGACTGTGCCACCTGGGGCGGACCGCACCCCCTTCCTACACCACTGCTAGGCCAACGTGATACTATTTATGATTCATTGAAGTTGTCCAGTTAAGATTGTACCTGACTCACCTTAACGGATTTGTCTTTTGATAATTTAATTAATAAAGTTTTCATAAGTTTTTAATCGCTCTCTGAAGTCTTTTTCAAAACTACTTTTTAAGACCACTGTCAGTTAAGCCTATTTTGAGATATGCCTTTCTAAAACATTGAGTCTTAGTGGAGTGGAGAGAGAGGAGTTAAGTCACTCATTTCTTAGTGAATTTTATTGACAATTTGTCACTTATCTCCTGGACTGTTTCAGAATTGTAAATAGATGTAGGATTAAGAGAAAATCTTTCTGTTGTACAATATAAAACAGTTCATGTATGATAGGTCCTACTTTCATATTGCAATGTTTAATTGTAATTCTGATTTGATTTTTACATCTTTATGATGATTGTGACTTGAAATTTGTGTATAAAATTTCATTTATATTTCATTTAGGCCTATACAAGACCAAGCTATTTCTAAAAATAAGAGATGGGGATTAGGCTAATAAAAAATATTGAGGGAACTGCCCAGGTTCATATTGGCTCAATGTTTTGCTGAAGTGATAATTGTTTTGAGGCCAGCTCTATATTTTCTGCGGCGGTAAATCTAACCCACTAAAGGTTGCGTTTACTATGTTTGGTGCTCTACCAGCAGTTACAAAATCGAAATGATCACTCTTAAAATCAATATTGTCATTAAGATTAAGGGATTGACGTTATATAGGATGATGACTTATTTTTGCGATGAGAAATTCTTTGGATGTCTTATGTTTAAATTTTTCTAGTTTTAATCAATTTTTTTTGTAAGAAATACCCATGTTTTGAATTTATGTTCACTTAGAAAACTATTTGTAAAATTTAATTTTTAAGGACATCTTCACTTTAAGGTTTTATGGGCATTTAAGGAAAAGTTATTTTTGGTTATTTTTTAAAGTAAATTGTTTGGCAGCCCTTAGTTTAGTCTACCTTATTTGTAGTCTACTCAGTACTGAGTGGAGTAGGTCGTGGGTGGAGATGGGGCAGTCCACCCTGATATTTCTTTATATTGAGTGGTGCCATTTTCAGCCAACTGTTCCATTCTGTTCATGGAAGGGGATGACAAACATGTTGGCCCACCCCAGTCAGCAATAATCCTAGCTACGCCACTTTCATTACTTTCAAAATGCTCGAGATGCTGGTTATAATTAGAAGTACTAAAGAATCATAAGATTTCACCTATACCTGCCAGGTTATAAAAAATATTTTTAGGTTCAGGTCTATTCACTGAGTGAAAGTATAAGCATTAATTAAATGCTTACATACAAAGACTGCCATATTATTGATCTAACACTAATTATGTGTGTATACTAAAAAACAGGGTACAAGTACTTTAAATATGGTTTCAACCTGAATATTAAAATTACTTTGATAGTAATGCTGTTTACGTGGTCTTTTGTTGTAATATTATACTATTGCTTGAGTGTGTATGCTGATAGTCTCTTAAGTGTTTGGTACATGGCAGGGGTCGTGAATCTTTTTGTAAAATTGCGCCAAAGAAGGATTTCTTTTTCATTCAGCATGCCAAATTCCTGTCAGTCTGCCATATAAGAAACATTTTCATTTTTTTGGTCTTTCGCATGCCGTTGAAAATATCTCTGCGTGCCAAGCTTTGCATGTGTGCATAGGTTGTCCAAGGATTAGCTAAGTTTCCTGTAGTGGAAAAGGCAGCCACTTCATTTTTTTTTTAAAGCAGGATAGCCTTCCAAAATATATATTTACTATTAAAGTCTGGTGTGGAAGATGCATTAGCTGTCACACTTGAATGTGAGATTCTCAGTGAGCAGATGCTTGAGGAAGAAAAAAAAATGCAAGTAAAAGAAGCTAGAGAGTTCAAGTGCAAGATATGAGAAAAGTGTGCACATAGAGAGTTGAGGCGATAATGTCTGGTGCTGTTCTGTAGAGACTCTATGATATGTGGGTGTAAATCACTCTCTCTTGTTAATTGTTGGAGGCATGCACAAATCATAAGTCTGGTTGAAGAGTAACAAGTGTCTTACAAATGCACACATGTGACCTGTTTTTGGTACAGGGTTTAAACATTTTTCTAGTTGTACATGCTCACAGGATTCTGTAAGATTTTTCACCTGATTTAGAAAAGAAATATTTTTTCACATAGCAGTGACGACACACAGCTGAAAATCTTTTACTTGCTGCCCAATAAATTGTCAACAGGAAGCTGCAATTGTATAGGTCTGTTCAATATGAGCTTTGGCCAAAAGTCTGAGATTGGTAGGCTATATAAATTTAGAAACTGAGCTTGTTTTCATTGAGACCATTTGTTAATAGTACTATAGTGTTGTTCAGTAGTAACTCCTTGAGTGGTTAAACCAGTGGTTCTCAACCTTTCTAGTGCAGCGACCCCTTAATACAGTTTTTCGTGTCGTGGCGACCCCCAGCCACACAATTATTTTCGTTGCTACTTCATAGCTGTAAGGAATATATGTTTTCAGATGGTCTTAGGCGATCCCTGGAAAAGGGTCCCGCAACCCCCAAAAGGGTTGCGACCCACAGGTTGAGAACCGCTGAGTTAAACCATGATTACAAATTAATTTGTTTTGTACAGTTTTGGGGTACTTTTGTAAAATATTTGATCCCAACAGGTTGGCATGTACGCAAGTGTGTCTAATGAATGACTGTGTTACACAGATTAAAGAAATGTGTATGTACTGTGTTGAACTTATTAGAAATGTGTTTCTACTTTGAAAGATGATCAGACTTGTGAGATGGTGTAAATATTGAGTCAGCACAGCTAGACTGAATTTGGACAACAATCATACTCAAGTCTGTCACCACACCCTCGAAGATGGGGAACACTTTGTTATAATAGACATGTAGATTCAAATAGTATTAAGATGACATCCTAAAACTGAGATTTAACTTGTTGAATATCTGAAATTGTTGTGCTAAATAAAAATTACCTTTACTAATTCCAGAGCACAGGAGGCTTGAGTCAGGAAAAATTAGGACAAAATATCCAGAGAGAATTCCAGTGAGTATAGTAGAACAAACTATTGCATTTGGTTATTGAAACAAGTACCTAGTTATTGATAAGATGTTGTGTAAGTATTAAATGTTTTTGTGTTTTTTAATACTTTAACATGTTTAAGTCCTTTGCCTAGAAAGTTAGATTTTATTCTGAGCCAGCTTACTCACCTTTCTAATTACAGTGAGTTTAAAAATGAATTGTATTAGAAAGAAGTTAAACCTGTGTTAAAGGTGTCGTACAAAATTTTATTGTGTAATCAAAATAATGTATAATTAAGTAATGGGAAAAAATTTTAGATCACAATTTTTAACTATTGGACTGCTTTAAACACTGTCTCATTGAGGAATGGGTGACAATGAATCAGCCTTACTAAGACTAAGTTTTTCTGTCTCATTGAGGAATGAGTGATTATGAATCAGCAAAACTCAGTTTTTGTTTCAGTTGTTGACAGTTTTTTTTCCCTTGTACTATTCTTTTCCATTTCCATTGAGACAATATTTTTTAAATTGAAAATTATTGGATATCTGTCTGTCTGCATTATTTGTATTGTTTTTTTCTTAGATGATATCTGTACACTTTCACAGGGAAATAAAGAAATCTGCCAGATTATCTTGTTCTTAAAAAAAAAAACAATGCTAAATTTACTTTTCAACCTGCTCCTTTCATCAGTTTACACATTTTTACAAATTAAAAGGGTCTAATGTTTAAGTGCAGGGAAAAAATAAAAGATTTTCCATTCAAACTGAGCCACCTTTGTAATGACTGATGTCATTAGTACAGTAATAGTCAGTATTGTGGAGAACTCCAACACATTCCAGCATTTGCTTAGAGCAAGTGCTAAGTAAGGTAACGCTGACCAGGGAAAGAAGGAAACAAGTGGCGAAGCAAGTTGACTCTGTTGTGAGAGATAATTTAAGCTAGAAGCCAAGGGTACTTACTGAGTAACTATGTACCATTAGATTGTCATGCCAACTTATTCTGAGAATGCTTATGTGTTAAGACAGTGGGTGCTAGGGGTGAGTTTTTGATTGAAAGGGGTTGCCAGAAAATGTTTGAGAACCACTACTATAGGAGGTGTACCCATAATAAGACAGAAAGGTTATTATCCACCAAAATAGCAGCGACACAACAAATGCTCTTTACAATTTCATAACCATTTCATTTTGCACATTTGCTAACGCTACTTGCTTTAAGTAGGTGGTGGATATTCTTTGATAGGCAATTAGGCTAATCCCTTAACCACCAGTTTAAACAACTTTGACAGGCCACATGTAAATTTGAGTTAAACTTATATTTCATAATGTATACTGTATTTTTTTACCACTGCAACTATTGGATTAGACATTTAGTAGGAAATTAATTTTTTTTGCCACCTAAAATTATTCTTGACTTTTGTTACAGGTTATTGTTGAAAAAGACCCCAAGTCCCACATTGCATCTATTGACAAGAGGAAGTTTTTGGTTCCCAGTGACATTTCTGTAGCTCAATTTATGTGGATAATCCGTAAGCGTATCCAGCTGCCCTCAGAAAAAGCCATTTTTTTATTTGTCGGAAAAGTCTTACCGCAGTCTAGGTAAGTTATGCATCACGCCTTAACATACATCTCCTATTTTAACATGCAAATGGGTCATTTGCATCTCTGGCATGATGAAACCAGTTTCGCCTCTTGCTCTTGCCACAATTTACATCGCATAATTGTACAGGAGGGTTGTCAGTCTTGACCCACTTCACAAACAGTATATTTCCTATCAGTTGGGGAAGCTGGATGTCTCTCTTTTTGAATGAGATATGACAAAAATAGTTGCCTGTCTATTTTGACCTCTGCAGGATTTCAGAGAGGAGATGTAGCTATTAAATCAGACAGACTAATTAACCATAGGTCAGCCCTTTCAATAAAAAAAAGTATTTTTTTTCTATTTTCCAGTTAATCCCTTAACCCAATATTTTTACCCCCCCCCCCCCCCCCTGCAAACATATTTTTTTCCCCATTAGTTTTGTCTAACTTGGAGTGACCCAACTGATTTAATTAAGTAGTAGAAAATGTCATTATTTCAATAAAAAAAAGTATTTTTTTTCTATTTTCCAGTTAATCCCTTAACCCAATATTTTTACACACCCCCCCCCCCCCTGCAAACATATTTTTTTCCCCATTAGTTTTGTCTAACTTGGAGTGACCCAACTGATTTAATTAAGTAGTAGAAAATGTCATTACTAAAATATCAAAATAAATTATATTTTTCTTAATACGTTACATTGCCTTTTTTGCTGTATCATAACTTGATAATTGCATACACTATCAAATTTTACTATTGAAAGCTACTGTCAGAGATAATCATTTCATACTCTATATTTCCCAGTGCAAGCATGGGTCAGATTTATGAGGAACATAAAGATGAGGATGGATTTTTGTACATTGCATACAGTGGAGAGAACACATTTGGCGCCTCTTGGGATGTGGGCACCTTGTAGCAAAGGAGCTCTCCTAAATAATCAACAGTGTATGGCCAACCACTTTCAACATGTCAAGATACATTTTGCTATGCATGCTTTCACCACGGATAAGCTATTTTAATTTATGCTGAATTAATTTGAAATATGTTTTATTTTTTAAAAGTGTTGATATTGGATTGTTTTATGGACCAAAATAAAAAATTTTAGTAATAGGGAAACAAAATTATTCTTATAACTCAGTTGTCCCGTAATTTACTCAATTTCTTGTTTTTAAATCACTGCAGGACACTAATATTTTTTCTAGTTATTGTGGTGATTATCTTTTAACAAGTGGACGCAAGTGTTCAATTATATTGATTTAAAAATAAAAGTAAACTTATTATTGCAATTGAGAACATTATAAAGGAACAGATATTTATGGCCACTCAGTTAAAGCTGTGGAAAGGATAAAACATTCCATGTAAAAAAACATACTTGTGGATAAAGACTTGTGTCGTTGGGAGTATTTGAGTATTTTGTATAAACACCTCACAAATATTCCACATTTGTTTTAGATTTTGCCTACTTGTCACCAACTCTTTGAGGCTTCACACATCTTTATTCACAAATAGGTCACTTTTGTTTTTTTTTTCATCTAAATCTATCTTCTCTTAACTTCAAGTTTGCAGACCTGTTAAGCTTGGGTTAAATAAAACTGACCCTCCTATCTTCCTCATCATTTATTATCTATTTCACCCCATCTTGCAAACAACAACAACATCTTTTAATTAGCTTGACTTTTCACTGCAAAAATTGCTACCGGTAGCCATAGTTATTTCTCAAATCCTCTGCACACAAAAAATAAAAAAATCCTCGACACTTTGGAAAATCAACTGGGACCCAAGAGCATAGAAACCAAGAAATGGGCTCATGTTGTATTATTGTTTGGATTTGAACATATTAAATATTAACATCTTTTTACTACTTCCTTTATTTCTTCACGACCTGAAACCAAATGATAAATGGTTGAAATATAGCCTGTGATGAATAGCTTTAAAAAAAAAAAACAGTTTTTAAATTTGATAATTTTGTATGAAACATTAATTAAAGTTGAAATTGATTCCAGCAGAGGTCAATGAAACAATTTCAAGTTGTAAATAAATTGAATATAATGCATGACTTTTAATTAAAATAAGAAATAAACACATTTGTCAAGACTTTGTCACAATGGTTCGTTGAATTTATTGCATTTAACATTATTCAATAATTTAATTTAATGTTTTGTTAAATTGTTTTTGTTGGGGACTGTACCTGAGAATTGGAACTTAACAAACTTTGCAGGTTAAGATCAGGACCTAATTGAGAAAGAAAAGATGTGGTTGGGGATGTTGCTGTGCGGAGGGTTTTAAAACAGTCTTATAACCAGGGCTCCATAATATATATTATTATAATTATAATGCTAGATAATTGACCCGATGAACCTAACCATTTCATTCCCTAAATATTTCAAATTTTTACATTCTTTATAATAACTTGTTTGTGGGACGCTGGATGGCTGACTGACTGGCTGGGTGGAAAAATCTTTGGGCGGCTAATGGGCCCACTTCCTGTTTAGCTATCGAGCTGAAACTTGGCACAAAGACTCGTCAATGACAGCACATTATTTTTTAGAGCATAGAAGAAACCAACTGGATGGCCGATGTGACACAATTTTCAGCCCCTGTGCTTAATATTTTCTTATGTTTTTTTCCTGAAATAGTTTGTGAAATTTATCTGCTGTGTAAAAGGGGTGGGCCACTAAAATATTAATATAGTTCAGGGGCATGACCAAAATGTGGAGTTGCGAGCCAGTGGTGGAGGGGGCACTATTTGGGATTCTAATAAAGTACGTGCGTTACTTGAATGCATTTTTTGTCAAATTTTCAGCTTGTTACAATTTTCTCTATTTATCATTGATAGATTAGATTATGCCCTTATATAATCTACTGTGAAAATTGCTGTCATGTCAGTATGTGTTTATCATTTTATCAGCACAATATTATTTCAAAATTTTATCCGCAAGTTACTCTTCAGCAGCAATGATTGTCATTGTGTTATTTTGACCTTGTCAAAGTACAAATTAAAACATTTATAATTTTTATCTCCAAAATTTGATAGCAGTCATTGGACACGAAGCCTATGTTATGAAAAGAATTTGTGTGTGTAGCCTTAAGGAGTAACTATGTAATTTAAATAAAATAAAACGTTGACTGTCTTACCAGGCTAGTAAAAAATGTTAACAAACAACGGATGACCTTAGTGATATTCCTTCCCGTGATTGACGAAATTTTTTTTTTTTTTTTTATTTATTCCTACACCTGTGATGACGTCCCATTTCGACCATTAAGACTTTCCTTACCTATGTATATAATATCGGCCGGGGTATTTTATTTTAAAAAAAAAAAAGAGTTATTTTTCAAGGGAGATAACTACTTCTTCAGCTCAAAGAAATTATATTTGCTATATAACCTCCCTTTGATTATTTCCGAAATTCGTAAGAGAAAAGGAAAAGATAAATTTAAATCTACTGTGATTTATATCGCTGTACATTGTTTCTCAAGTGTGATTGAATGTTGCTGACACGAATGCAGACGCTTCTATTAAGTTGTTCAATATAGTTATTGTATGACACCACTTTATCAACACCAACCCGACACCACACTTTGATTCTCATCTCACACATTCAGCCAAAGAAATAACTACCGTTAATCAGTGCCTGGCACTAGCGAACCGGGTGACACTCCGCGCTTTTTGCCGCCTCTTCCATGAACAAAAAACAAAAAAGAACCCAACTCCGCAGAGTGCCAAAATAAAGGAAACCAAGTGCCACTCGGGGCGGGCCGCCCCCTCAGCACCCCCATTCCTACACCTGTGATGACGTCCCATTTCGACCATTAAGACTTTCCTTACCTATGTATATAATATCGGCCGGGGTATTTGAACGTCAATGGCGGACTCAAATGTAATTTTCCCCCATGGCCCCGCACCCCACTAGCGCCGGCCCTGCACTAATCATACCATCATTACCCCGGCAGCACAAGCCGTCTAGGCGTGAAGGGGATGGTTGACGGGGAAATATTCCAGCCATTTCGGCGATGGGGAGAAGATACTGTGACTCGAATTCACAAGCTACCCCATACGTTCGGCTTGCCGTATGATAGATGCACTCATGTCTGGCAAACCTTTCCTGTGGTATACGTTAACCCTTTGATGACGGCTGAACCATATCCCCCCCCCCCTCCAACACGCCCTCCCACGTTCGGCGTCAAGAATGTTCAGCTGGTATGTCCAGTGGTCACCCCCCCCCCCTCTAGCCTCCCGCCTTCCCTCCCACACGCCCCCCCACGTTCGGCGTCAAGAATGTTCAGCTGGTATGTCCAGTGGTCACCCCCCCCCCCTCTAGCCTCCCGCCTCACTGGCAATCTTCGTGCCACCTACGATGTAGTGAATAGTGTAGTGTTACGATGTAGTGAATAGTGTAGTGTTACGATGTAGTGCATAGTGTAGTGTTACGATGTAGTGAGTAATGTAGTGTTACGATGTAGTGAATAGTGTAGTGTTACGATGTAGTGCATAGTGTAGTGTTACGATGTAGTGCATAGTGTAGTGTTACGATGTAGTGCATAGTGTAGTGTTACGATGTAGTGCATAGTGTAGTGTTACGATGTAGTGCATAGTGTAGTGTTACGATGTAGTGTATAGTGTAGTGTTACGATGTAGTGAATAGTGTAGTGTTACGATGTAGTGTATAGTGTAGTGTTACGATGTAGTGGATAGTGTAGTGTTACGATGTAGTGCATAGTGTAGTGTTACGATGTAGTGAATAGTGTAGTGTTACGATGTAGTGAATAGTGTAGTGTTACGATGTAGTGAATAGTGTAGTGTTACGATGTAGTGCATAGTGTAGTGTTACGATGTAGTGTATAGTGTAGTGTTACGATGTAGTGAATAGTGTAGTGTTACGATGTAGTGTATAGTGTAGTCTACTCTAGAGCAGCGTTTCCCAAACTTTGAAGTGTGTGTGTGTGTGGGGGGGGCAGTGGACACGTTTCTAATTGCACCAGGGGCCAGTGCCAGATTGATTGATTATTACTATTTTTATTTGACCTTTAAAAGCATAACGATTTTTAAAATTACGTAATCAGCAAATTCAATATGACGCGATGAACAGTTATTACCTATTGCCTATTACCATGGAATTCCAACCGTCTATTCTAATTTATTGTTTGTTAGTGTGTTTTTGTGTGTTTTTTGTGTTAAAAAAACACCAAAAAAACAAAAAAAACAAAAAACAAAAAAAAAAAAGCAACTGGAGTCTAGGTCCTAGACCGGATAAAACTCA